TTTTAAAGGGGGGAAGAGCCAGATGTTGTGGCGCATGCCTGTAATCCCAGCACTTGGGAGGCTGAGGCAAGAGGATCGTTGCAAGTTCAAGGCCAGCCTGGGCTACAAAGTGAGTTCAAGACCAGCCTGAACTGCATAGTGAGACCTTGTCTCAAAAAGGCAAAAAAAAAAAAAAAAAAAAAAAGAGGAAAGGATATTTAGCTCACAGTTTGTGGAGGTTTCCATCCATAATGAGCTGGCTCCAAGGCAGGGCAGTGGAAGACAGCAAAAGCAACAAAGTGGTGGGAGCGGAGGGGCGTGGGAGGTCCTGTCATTCTTAACATATTCAAGCTTTCTTCTAAAGCTAATAATATAAGATTCTTCCAAACTCTCTACCCTCAGGATTCTGCCAATCCCATGCTTTAGATCCCCAGCTCTCCCAGTAACCTGAGAGATCCCTGAGGAAAAACCACAAATTGCATCCTCAGAATCTTCAGGGTCAGAGGTTTGGGTCCTCTTCCAAAAGAGCAGTAGCTCTGAAAGCTACTGAGGCAGGAACTAGTCCAGAGATTCATGCTGTGGCCCAGCCTAGTCTGAAGTCCCTAAAGGAAGACTCAACCCTAGCAACAAGCAGAAGGAGACAAGAAATAACAAACAGAGGCTAAACCAAATAATAATACCCAGAGGGTTTTGGAGGATGAGGGAAGTGGCATTTGTGTTTCCCCAAACTCCCTTTGTCACAGAGCTACTTCCTGCTAACCTCATACCATCTCTTGACCTTCCTGACAAACTAATCCCCAGTACACTACTTGTTCGCTCTAAAACCTTAGGTGGCTTTGCCAAGCCCCCCACCACAACAGCATCCATGGCCTCCCATGATCCAGACGATTGTCTCCAACTTCATCTCCCACTCACCTGTGCTAAGGTCAGACTCTTCATTTCTTTAACATTGTCAATTCCCTGGTTTTTATATATGTTCTTTGTCTGCTTGGTATGGGGAAAACCTCTAGGCCTTTCTGAAATCCAGATCTATCTTTGAGATTCTACTTACCCCTTCTTTTCTTGTAGGTAGCCTTCCTTGTTCCTACCCATGCTTCAGTGACAACTTTGATGGGCAGTATCTTTTCAACAAGAAGTAGCTGGGTTGGTATCATGAACCTGTACAGTCGGCTCCTCATAAGGCAAAGGCAGGAGGATCACTTGAGCCCAGGAGTTCAGCCTGGGCAGTATAGCAAGATTCCACTTCTTAATAAAATAAACAAGTGATGATGATTGTGTATGTGCTTTTCTGAGTAGAAAGCTGGCATTCCCAGGGAAGGGTCTTTGTACTTATACAGTATGCCCTCACTCAGCCTGTGGTGGTTCTAGCACAGAGAAGATTCTGCTCAAAGGCTCCGTAGTCACAGTCTGAACCTCAAGAAAGTTGGCTAACGTGGAAGTCTATACCTGAACACTATCCTGGTACAGGATACAGAGTTCCAGTTCCCCAAGCCCAGAGAAGAGGGCTTTTGGCATATACTCTGGTACCCTGCCTGACCTTCAACGACCTGGATTCTGTACCCAGCAGTAGCTGAGTTGTCCAGCTGTCCAGGTAGCTAAGCCAGATTCCAGCCTTCCATTTCTCCGCACAGCAGGAAAATCCATAGAAGGGGAATCTGGAACCCAGTGAAATCCTCTCCTGAGACCCCTGCCCCAACCCTCCTCTCCGCTGCAGAGATTTATTATCAAGGCTGGGAGGAACCTGAGGCCTCAACTTATGCAAACCCTTAACTTATAGATGCGGAAGCTGAGGCTCAGGGAAGTTAAAAACTGTTTAGAATCGGACAATGCTAGAGGCATCTACTGACTGGGCCCTGGGGAGTGGGCTTAGTATTCTGGGATCCTACCCTAGGCTTGGGGCCCCTAAAAAGAGCCAGTGAGCATCATACTGGGGTAATCCTGGAGTTTCATTTCCAATCAGACATAAGGTCCCATTCCTGTGTACCCATGAAAGGCTCTGTGTGCTAATATACACGCCTGTGTGCAAGCGCTCACACCCATGGAGTTAACAGTTGACGGGGCATACCCATCTAACCCATGCCCAGATATGAGCACTTGCCCAATTTATGGGCTCTGGCACTAGAGGTCAAGAAATCACCCTTTTATTCCTCCCTAGGCCTTGGGCTTGCCCTCATCATGCCCCGGGGAGTCTTCACTGGCTTGGGGGCCTCCTACTTCAAAGGACAGAGATGTGTCAGCCTGGGTGTGTTCCTCACAGAACCTTTTGTGTACTTGTAGGCATGAACCAGTCTGTGTGCCTGATTGGAGAACTTGCTCATCACTCCCTTCTCTATAGCTGCCCTACCCTTAGATAGAAGGGAAAGCTGGGGGTGGTGGCACAGCACTCAGAAGGCTCAGGCAGGAGGATCGCCACAAGTTTGAGGCTAGCCTGTGCCACATAGTGAGTTTGAGGCCAGCCTGAAGCAACACCTTGTCTCAAAAAAAAAGTAAAGCCTGAGATGAAACCTTCTGACTTAGATAATATATTCCCATTTTTCTAGTGAAAAGACTAAGGTAAGTACTTGTTTTTCTCTCCTCTCTTTTTCTTTTCTTTCTCTCTCTTTTTTTTTTTCAGATGAGATCTCACTATGTTGCTGGGGCTGGCTTAGAATTCTTGGGCTCAAGTGATCCTCCTCCCTCAGCCTCCAAAGGGGCTAGAACTATAGGTACACACAACCATACATGGCAGAGGGGGGAAACTTCATTGGTAAATTGAGCCGAGGCAGACACAATCCCCAAATTCCCCCAAGAGTTGATCCTATACCTTAACAAGGGACCATATCACAAGAACTTCTTTTCAAGCCAGGCATGGTGGTAGACACCTGTAATCCCAGCACTGAGGGAAGCTGAGGCAGGAAGATCACAAGTTTGAGTTCACTCTGTGCAATTTAGCAAGTTGGTGAGACCCTGACTCATAATAAAAAATTTAAAAAGGGTTGGGGATGTAGCTCAGCGTGCAGGCCCTGGGTTCAATCCTCAGTGCCAAGGGAAAAAAAAATGAAAACCTGGGCTCAAGAGATCCTTCCATCCTCAACCTCCTGAATAACTGGGACTAGCAGTGGTGGCAAACCTATGGCACACTGCTGCAGCAGGCTATTTGTTATCATTGAAAGCTCTAGAAGGTTCGTCATCACTGGACTAGTGGCAGACAGCACTGCATGGTGAGTAAATCCAGACTTCAATCCTGCTTCTGGGCTGTCTGCCTGACCCTATGTAACTCACTTCCTTTTGATAAGCCTTGATTTCCCCATCTGTAAAATGGTTCTACAGGCACGCAGGTTTGTGTAAATTGTGTTCAGTACCCCGTCAGTGAGGAAGTAATGGTAAGAACAGGGTTCAGAGAAAACATTTCAGAGAAAACAGCAGTTTTATCTATCTACCTGTAGTGTTAGGGTGGGATGGCAACTTTGGGGTTCTGGAGGAGTGTTTATGAGTGTGGAAAGGAGCTGCTTGGGTGTGCAGCATGAATTCCTACACTTCAAACTTTGAAGGAGAAATGGTTGCATCTCCTACCCAGATGTGATTAGAAGAGATAGTGTTGGGGCCACACAAGCACAGGAGGAAAGGAACAGGTGTCTGCGCTTGTGTCTTCGGTCCTTGGTTAGGCAACACCAGATTCTGTACCTCCCTGCTGGGCCTTGGCTTGGGAACTAGGTCCCAGGCAGGCTTTGAGTCTGGAGAAAAGAGGTGGGTGGGAGGTTCCCTTCTGCAGAACCTCCCACTCTTCTGGCAGCAAATTAAGTCCCTGTAACTCAGGTCACTCCCTCTCCTGCTCACAGCTCTCCATTGGCTCCCTACAGCCTCCAGGTGGAAATTGACAGTGCTGTGGTGCTCTGTGGTGCTCCAGCATCCTCTGCCTTAAAGTTGTTACCGGAGTTCCTGGGTTTGCAGTGGTTTGCAACACAGCAATGGAAAACTCATACACGTGTGCTAAAAGATTTGAGGATTTGTGTTGTGGTTTGGGTTTTTTTTTTGAAAGGGGAACAATATAATACAGGATACATATTTACAAGATTATATACAAAAGAGTGCAGGAAATTTGTCCACAAACTAAGACCAAGGAATTTAGCCGAGGGCCTGGATCCCACAGAAATGTCCTGCATGAGTCCAGCTGAAGACCTAGAGCCCACAACAATGTCTCATGCAGGCCTGTTTCACAGATCTGCACTGGGAGGCCCCAAAGGTCAGTGGTGGAATCGGGAAAGTCTGTGCCAGCAGGATGAAGGACTTGTGCTAGCAGACTGAGGGATCTGCACTGGAGCCAGGAAGCGATGCTCAAAATAAGAATCAGAGCTCCCCTGAAAGGTACCACAGCCATCCTCAGCAACAGTGAGGTCCCGAGCTCCTCTGATGAAGAAGACAGCTGTATTCTCATCAGGAAAGCCGATGCAGCAAGCTTCTCCAGGAGACTGGCAGTGCACCATCTTCCCCTCCGGAGCCAGGAAGCGATGCTCAAAGTGAGGACCAGAGCTCCCCCAAAGTGAACTGAAGCTATTCTCAGTGCCAACAAAGTCCCGAGCTCCTTGGAGTTGGCTGTTTTCATAAACAGCCAAGTTCATCGGAAAGCCAGCATGATAAGCTCCTCCAAGAGAACCAGGAGCTCCTTACAGCTTCCACCAGCTCCCAACAGCCTTCCTCAGCTCCCAACAGCCCCACTTCTTCTCCAGTTCTGCCTCTTATGCTGCTGGCAACAGTCCTCAGGTAGGCCTCCCACACCTAGCACCATGCTTACTCGGTTCAGCTGGGGGTTATAAGTTGACCACCAGTTGTCAATCCACCACAGTTTGTTTTTATTTTGTTTTGTTCTTTGCCCAACAAGCAATTTGAGAAGCTGCATGTGGTGATATGGGGTGGGGTACATGCCTATAATTCCAGCTCTCTGGGAGGCTGAGGCAAGGGAATCACAGGTTTGAGTTCAGCCTGGGCAACTTAGAAATTTAGTGAGATCCTGTCTCAAAATAAAAAATAAAAAAGGGAGCTGAGTGTGGTGGCAGCACTCAGGAGGCTGAGGCAGGAGGATTGTTGTGAGTTTGAGGCTAGCCCTAGCTACAAAGTGGGCTCAAGCCTAGCCTGAACTGCACAGCAAGACCCTGTCTTAAAAAAGACATACATACATACATACGTAAGAAAAAAATTAAAAAGGGCTGGGGATGTAGCTTATGAGAAGACTGTGAGTTCAAATTCCAGTATTATAAAAGGAGAAAGAAGAGGGCTGGGGATATAGCTCAGTGGCATAAGTGCCTGCCTGGCAAGCGCGAGGTCGTTAGTTTGATCCCTGGTACCGCAAAAAAAAAAAAAAAAAAAGAAAGAAAGAAAGAAAGAAAAGAAGAGGAAAAAAAGGAAAAGAAAGGGGAGAGAGGGGAAGGAGGAAGAGGTGGAGAAGCAACTTAAGGGCTAGGTGTAGATGAGTGGTAGAGCCTAGCAGGTGTGACATCTTAGGTTCCATTCTCAACACTTCAAAAATAAAGGCCAGATATGGTGGCACATGCCTATAATCCCCGATACTCCAGAGGCCAAGACAGGAGAATCAAAAGTTTGATATAGCCTGGGCAACTTAGCAAGACCCTGTCTCAAAATAAAATTAAAAATTCTGGGGGCTGGGGATTTAGCTCAGCGGCAAAAGCGCCTGCCTGGCAAGCGCAAGGTCGTGAGTTCGGTTCCCGGTACCGGAGAAAAACCAAAAAA